GACTTACTTTAACGAAAGTGAAATTTTTGAGTTTGATGTATTACATTGATAAATTTTGAATTGTATGAAAACTGATCAATAAATAAAATTCACTAGTCGGTTCTTAATGAAAAACTATTTTTTTTTCCCGTTAATCTTGTACTTCTTTCAACAACACAGAACTTGAGCGCACACCATCTCGAGACATGTTAGTTAACATCGTCGATATCTGTTTTGAACATTTCTGATCACTTCAAGAATCTTAAATGTTGTTTGTTGATGAAAATAAAATGAACTACATACGACTTTTTTTTGTTCACTGTCAAGGGATATTTTTCCTCTCATTCGCAATTACTTGTTTCGGAGGAGATAAACAGAACTATTGCTAACCGAACGTTACGCTTAAAGTTAGGCAGATCTGTTAACTGTGCAAAGCATAAGAATTTCTTGTTCACTTTTTAATATTGTCATTTTTCTTAGTCGCTCATTTGCGTTTATTTTCCTACTGTTTTATACCATTTACAATTATCAGAAAAATGATCAAGGATCGGCAGCCACTTTATAGGTAAAAAATTATTCCAGACGAAAACGAGCCATCAAAACAAATTATGTACAAAAAGATCCGAATTAAAAATACTTCTGAATGAGAGGTTGCAATACAATAAGAACCTTTATATATCTGATAAAGTTTGGAATATCATACATAAGATCACGATGAGCCAAATTCTTTCATCCATTCTTCATACTTTATTAATACCGTTTTCGATACCGATGATGAAATTTTCGATATTGCGTTTGTAAAATCTTCCATGTTGCTTGGTGAATGAAATTGTTCTTTGACCTCTTGTGGAATATTTTGTATTTGTGACATACTTAATTTTTCTGTGATCCGACGCATTGGCATCATGGCGGCATCTCTAAATATGTCAATATTCACGTATTAGAATAACAACCACAAGAGAACTTCCTAACAATCACGTATTTAGTTCTCTCTCCGCAATGTTGATCGCTGGGAAACGTACATATGCTTTAAACTTTTCTTACCGACAAACACTCGTAATATCTGATCCCGAATAACCCTCCAAACGTTCT